TAGAAGTAAATGAAAAGTTAAATAAAATACAGCATGGACTTAACAAAAATAGATTCTGGTTTTGTTTGGTAACATTTTCTAAAATAAAAAAGTTGAGAAAATCTAATCCATTTGGATCTTATTAAAGCATCTGACACAGCAGTGGGAAATTAACAGAGACACTGAAGACGTGGAGAAGAGTAAAAATAATATAATGTGGATGCAAAATCTATGAGTAAAACAACAGAAGGATATATTGGAAGGAGAACTATCATGTTCTTATTTCCAGGCATTGATTTCTGCTACTGCTGGAGCCAAGGATTTCTCTAGGGACTCATCTTATTACCCTCAGGGATCTAGCAATAAAGGAGGAACTGCAGCAAGGAAATTTGCATTAGACACCCATCTGGTCAATGTACTGTCAATGATTAAGTCCCACAGCGCAGGAAAGCTGGTGATCTTGAGGCCTGGAATAATAGAAGTGCAATGCATTTAACATATTCAAGGAAGGTATTTGCTTGGGTTTGTGAATCATTTACCCCATGCGATAAGTATATTCAGTGTGCTCAGCAGTGGTTAGACTTCCTCCATCATTCTTTGTCCAGTTTTGGGCATCAAACTTAAAGAAAGAGGTGGAGCAGCCAAAAACAACCAGAGGAAGTAAACAAGTATGGGGAGAAATTTAACGAGCATGCCAGTGAGGAAAGAATTAGAGACGATTAAGCTAAACAAGAGAGATTCAAGAGATCAGATGGTAACAGTCCTGCAATATGGAAGAGGATGTCTGCTTTAAAGGACAGCAGTAGTCTGTTTTCTATGCCTGCTGCTGATGGGACAAGAAATAATGGTGCAGCCTTAGCCTGCAGTGGGAAGATTTAGTTTAAGCTTCATGAAAACCTTTTTTAATGAAAATTATAATTAAATACTGGGAGAGATTGCTAAGGACACTGCAGAGTAGACTCCTCTGGAAGTTTTTATTGCACAAATGTCTCTCAAGAATAATTTTGGCGAATTTATTCATTGATAAGAGCAACGGATATCACCTTTTCTAGTGCACTCCACTCACACTGTCTTCTCCTCCTATCTGTCCTCTTTGGCCCTACATGGACCACCTCCCCTTAGTGAAAGGAATTGATGGTGCTGATGGAACTCTTGACGGTACCCAGGTAAACTAGTTGGCATTAGCCTTCTCCTAATTTCTCAAGCGACACATATTCAGACTGCCAATGGCCTACACCCCTTAGGTATCTGTTCCTTGCTGAGACTTTGCAGGAAAGTATTCTGGCCACCAGCTCCATGGGGTGGTGGGATGAATGGGGAGGCAGCATGGTTAGCAAGGAGTCAGCTTGCTTTGCTGCCTAGGGCTTGATCCATGGTAGAGTCACAGGCAAAGTCCAAGGGCTAGAAGCACACAAAATGCAGAACTGAGGCAGGTGTTGGTTGAGGGGCTCAACCCTGCTCTGCAAGGCAAGACGGGGTAGTGGACATGCCTGTGTCAGGGCTGTAGGTACTGGCCAGGACCTTCACAGGGCTGGAGTTACCCAGCACTGCCCTTCTTCCAGCCCAGCAGGAAAGCAGAGCTGTGCATGGCGCCTCATGCTCACAAAGCCCACTGTATCGGCTGTGTGGGGTCAGAGTATGCCTCTTGGTGACGGTCTTAAATCCCAGACAAGCCTGCTGTCTCCTTTAGCACAAAGATACCCTAAGTACAGGAGGCTGGAAGTAGAGACTGTACCTCCAAGCCCAACTGTCCACTGGCCTTGGTCTCCTGCTGCTCCGTAGGCACCTGCCCCTGGCAGTGGCAGCAGCAGATCCCCATACATCCCCAGGCTGACACAGTAAGGCCATTCTTAGATTTCACTAATGAGCCTTCCTGGCTGTGAGGCCCAAGGTATGGCCTCTCCTAATCTCTCCCTGCTCCATTTTCTATTGTCCTTTACCGGTTATGTTTGAGAGTCGAACAGAAAGCAAGCAGCCCGCGGATAAACTCTTACATATAGGCACCATGTATATTCAAAAACGTGGGGGAGCACACCGCCTGTTCAGGACAGCACCTTAAAGAGACAAGACAGATCCATTACATGCAGCTGCCCTTACTGGATTTGCAGATGTGCGATAACCTCACGTGTCGGATGATTCACTCTCATCTAAAATTGCAAAAGGGGAGCTCACGCACACCCAGGCTCTCTTACGGCTCTGCCTCGCCTGCACAAATCAGCTCCCGAAACTGCGGCTCTGCTGCCAGCCGTGTGCTCAGCCCCTCGCTGCCTGATGAGAGCAGTGCCCAGCAGCGCAGGCGGCAGCTCTGCCCTCCAGGCCCCCACAACAGGTGCAGCACCGGTGGGAGAATTCCACGGGAGGCTCGTTATAAAGGAAAGCCCAGTTGTTCAATCACGGAGCGGTGATTGACATCTTGAACCTTCCCTCATCTGAGTTCACCGAGCATTACTCGTCCCTGACCTGCCAGCTGTGCATTCGTTTACGCAGCGCAGAGGGCACCAGCTGGACCTGGAAAGGCTCCACATCCATTTTACATTGCAGGAAGGAGTACCTGCGCCCAAAGTGCTGGGCAAAGGGGAACAAGCTAGACACCCTTGGTTTCATTTATGGAGGCAACACTGCTTATTTCCCAAATAATTTCTCTTGTCTGTAAGCATGAAAATGAGTTTTAAATTACAGGATATAATATTTGAAAGTTTATTGCTTCAGGCAGTTGGTTTGTGCTTGGATATATGCCTTTAGATGGGACCCTCTGCTCAGACCACTCAGGGTTTATTTAATGCACAAATCTGGGGGAAGCCAGCACTGTTTAAAATGGAAGCCTGCATTTCAGTTCTCCTGAAGATATGGCATATGGATGAGATAGAATTTAAAGGAAACGGCTGGATGTGCATGGGAAGTATTTAAGGGGAAGTATGTATACGTTATAATAAGGTGAATAATGTTCTAATAAGGTGATTGTTTGCAGCATATATAGAATCTCTAAGGCAGATTTTCAAAAACTTCAGGTCCCACTCACAGTCCATTGGGCTTGTGTTCCTGTTAGTCCTGTGGACAGTTTTGGAAGTCTTCTTATAGTCTTCTTATATGTTCTTTTGTTCGTACGACTAGATCAGCGTGTGCTTTACCAGGAACAGACAATACCATCCGAGGTAGCAGTAGTGTTCAATGTACACAGGGCTTTTACAGAGATGTCATGCTTATCTCACTTTTCATTGAGGCTTCCCTCAAACCTGTAGCTGATTACTGTGTGAGTCACTCCATGTTTTGATGGCAGAGAAAACTACAGTGCACCAGTACATATACATGTAGTCTTCTGAGTAAGATCTTGTACCTACATTTTAGAGGGCTGAACTGGGCAGGTGACTTTGTTAGAGACATGGTTATAAACTCTGGTGTTCTAGCTATGGGTTCTCTGTAGGATATTCACAAAGTGCCACTAACAACAAATTTTCTCCTCCGCTCTCTTCCCCCCAAAAAAGAGACTGGACTGGCATATAGACATTAATGAAGGAATATAAAAGAGAGACACCACATATTGCTATACTACAGAAAGGTCATGCACATTACACATACACATATGTAGAAATAATTTGCTTAAAAATGAGTAGGACAAATAAAATTACATAATCAAGCACATCTTACTATGTATCTTAAACATGTGTAAACACTGTGAAGAGAGTTCCAAAGCAGATTTTGATTTCTCTTGTTCAGAGTTTCATCTTATGAAGTGAAGAATTTGCTTCTAAAATTTCAAGTAGCAGTAGTCCAACAAACTTACTAGAGAACTGCAGATCACATAAAAAACTTTCCATAAAGTATTTAAAACAGTCAATCAAACTCTAGAACAATAATGTTGTTCTGCATTAAACACCACAGATTTAATTGCGTTCCCAGTTCAGTCAAAGGCAAAATTCCATTCATTTCTGTGGGACTGGAGTTACACCTTATTCATTGGTTACAAAATTCTATTAAAATATTACTACTATTGATCAATTGGGTCATTTATTAAATTAATTTGTATGCAACTATTTGTTTTTCAGTAGACTTGGTTTCTTTACGTTGCTGCTTTTCATGGATGCATGACCTTATTATCAAAAATATTGTTCAGTTTGTTTTAATGTGAACTGTGAGAAAATACTATCACTGATTATATTTTTTATGCCTATAAACTATGCTGGTGTGAGGGGTGACAGCAAAAATATCGGCCTCATTGTACAAAAGACCCTTATTTAAAAATATATATATCACAGAGTCCTGCGGCAAGTACCCAACACAGCGTTTGTGATCTGTACAATATTGGAAAACATTGTAAGCTGCGAGGAGTTTGCAAGGGAATACTGCTGCTTCTAAAAAGAAGGATGTGAATGAGTTTGACCTATATGGTTTACAAAAGAAATATTAACTTTCACCAAAAAGATGATATTTAGGATGAACATAGAGCTATGTTTATTCTCTGAAATAAGGGATATTTTTCATATATTTCAGCTTACCTATCTCTGCCGAATAAATTCTTCATGCAACCTTCCATTAAACCTACAGTAAATCAATCCCTCAGTGAATGCTTTTCTTATAAACCGTTATTATCTTGTCCTTATTCACTGTTATCCCCTCTCTCCCAGGCAGGAGGGAAAAAAAAAAAACCACAACAAATCAGCTGCTTAACTTCCCTCTTCTTTGCAATAGGCCAGAATTTCATGGCACAGTGGAACCTCAAGCCCTTTATTACTGTTTTACGCATAAAATGCAACCCACAGCAAAGCCACACAGCCCAAAAGCTATTCCAAGTTACAATTAAAATAATATTAAACATTCACCTTTCCATGCATTAAGACTGTCTGTGCTGCAGCATTAGCCCCAGCTGAGCCCACTGGGGGTAAGCGCAGCTCCAAAACGCAGCCCGAAGAGCTGCAGTTACGGGGCAGAAGGCAAAGGCAGCTTTCTAGCTGCCCTTTTGTGCAGAAGCTGAAATCCATCCGGAGAGATGGAATGCTTCAAAAACAGAGGAAGGCAGGAGGCACTCAGACATACTGACTTTTGGAGTACGAGCTTTCAGTCTTCCTGTGCAAGTGCCGGCTGTGAGTGGGGTAGTGGGTTGGTGCGGAGTATCCGTAGCTCCTGGTTTTCTCACAACAGCGGCAAAAGCAACAGAATATGGCTCCAGCAGCAACGAGGCAGAAGGCAGCTACCCAGCCCAGGTAAAGGGCCTCTCCAAGCTCCCTTTTCTGTGCAACATTGACCACGGGATTGTAGAAGTCACTGATGACGGTGTTGGCATCAACCCAGCAGACTGGAACGAGCTCCACGGCACCCGACAGGATGAAGAGGAGCCCAGCCGTCAGGATAATATAGCCCTTGGCTTGCCAGCTGCTCTGCACGCAGCGTGTGCACTTCATCCCAATAATGGCAACCATGAAAGCGAGGAACGGGAGCACCGACCCAGCGCACATCAGCCCTCTGGATGCCTGCAGGTCCGGCGAGAGGGCCAGCACGGAGTCGTAGGCCTTGCACTGCATCCTGACGTTGGCTTGCCTGATGCAGTACATCCACAGGCCTTCCCAAATGGTCTCAAACACGATGATGTTGTTCTCGATGAAGGCAGACACCCTCCACGGAGGCATGCCCGTGACGGCAAACGTCCCGATCACGCCGCCGCCGCCAACGAGCAGCCCAGTAATCTGCAAAGCACCACCGACCATGTTGCCTTTACGAGGTGAGCGCACCTCGGCAGCTTCCCTGAGCTGGCAAAAAAATGAGCAACTTTTTCCAAAAGTTGTTGTCCCTCGTGCAAAGAAAGTTTCGGAGTCAGTCTGCACAACTTTAAATCAGCTTAAATCTGGTATACGCTGCCTGGGACTTGGCTGCGCCTTCATCGCCTTTGTAATTCCCCGGCCACCACTGACTCAGAGGCAAACTGAGCAAGTCAAGTGGAACAACTTTCCAAAGCAAGAGAAAGGACAGGGTGTGTGCAAACCAGCAAGAGCCACTTAGGATAAATGCACCTCCTGAGGAAAACGCTTTGCATTTGAAGTCACTTATTTTTAAAAAAAAAAAAAAAAAAAAAAGAAAGGCAAGCCCTACCCTTAACTCTAGCTGTTGTCTGCAGCCTTGCCTGTGCTAAGGAAACGGACTGGTCTCGGTAGGGAGGCTTAGGTGCGCGCCGGTGCAGTTACTGGAGCTGCTGCACTGAGCGAGCAAGAATATTCTGCCTCTGCTCGGGCTCGATGGCAACTTGCCAGGGGAAAAGCAGAGCCATGACCCCCCCCCCAGGGCCTCTTCTCCCAAAAGTACTTTTGTTCTGAAGCTGGAAGGGGAGCGCTGCAGTGACAGGATCAAGGAACAAAGCAAATCAAAAGGATAAAGTCACTCTGAACCTGAAACAGTTCTGCAGAGGATAATCAAAGCTGCAAAAGGCTATTTAAGAGGTAGAAAGTAACAGTAAGAGACCTCAGTCCTGCTAATACCCGTACACATACATAGCTTTATACATTTCTGTTGCTCTGCTGAGTCTTTCGGGAATAGGCAGGTTTCTGGAGAAATCCACATGCTTAAATGATTGCACAGTCGGGTCCACAGAATGGCAGTTTAAGCTATGTAGCAAATTCTTCTCCTGTGCAAGAGTGAACCCAGCAATTACCCTACGATGGAGTCTAGTGCAATGCAAAGCACTGGCTCTCCAAGTGAAGAGCTAGTAGAGCGATCCATGTACAAAGAAATACTTTAGAAAAACATCATTTTAACTAAAAAAAAAAAAAAATTAAACATCATAATTACAGAGAGCAGGTGTGCTGTTCATTCAACAGTCCTTGTGTGATGTGACCAGCAGGCAATCCTGGAAAATATCGAATGAAGAAATTTGGGAAAGTCGGAGCAACAAAAACTGCTGTCAAAAATCTAGGAAAAAAACCCCAGGCATGTAACAGCAGATTCTTTTCACAAATTCATATAGCAACAAATGTATGCATGAAATATTCAGCCTGATCTCTGCATGTGCCTTAATATGGAAAATAAAAAATTAGGCATAAACTAGGATTTTTTGTTATACAGTAATACTCCATATGTTAAGACAATAACTAATTTGTTACACTGTAAAAGATCAATTTAGCATATAATTAACTAGATACTGAAATACTAGTCTCCTGCTACGCATTTGAACTTTCTTGACTCTATTTCCTTTCTTGCAATTTATACATCTTCAAAAACAGAAAGTAAATGCAAAAAAATAGAGCAGTGCAGTGCTAAATATGCCAGCTTGTTGGCATACCAAAGATAGAGAAAAGAGAAAAGTCCCACTTACATGTAATATTTTATGCTCCCTAAGTTTGTGTAGGACTATGGTTAGGAGGCAGGGGAAAGAAAGAAGCACTCTGCAAATCTTTCCATATTCAGTTTGGCTTTCCTATCCACCTGCTTCTCCAACCTCCGCAGCAGGCTGATGCTTCTAGAGACATGCTAAAAGGTTGAAGGCAGGTAAGCTCTGCTTCGGTTTCTGGTCCCCTGAGCCCTGATTTGTGCCTAGGAAACTTTCCATTGTGCCCATTTGGTTTTGTTTATCTCTGAAATCCAACCTGCTGTCTGCATGCCTCTCCTAATCCAAAGGCACTCTGTCCCTTGCCCTGAAAAGTGCAATTAGTCTGATGGCAGCTCCAAAAGCATTTTAAGGGACGAGAAACCAAGCAGGAATCTGTTTTTTTCACGTGTGCTCCTACTGCTGTGGCGCTCAGCGGTATCCGATCCCGC